TAGAGTTTTTTCCCGTAAATAATTTTGTTCACTGGACTCCTGGTGGCACCTTGACTCATGAATTAAAATTTCACAGTGTCTTTTGCACATTTAGGCTGTAGGTAACGAATACGCCTGTGATGGCAAAGGTCCTGGGTTCGAATCTGACTGGGACCTTTTTTTTTAAAACTGTAAATATTCCGGTTCAAAAAATTTTGGCCTGTTTCTTGTCTGATTATGTTTTTTTTTCGGCTTAGTTGCCACATCTAAGAATAGTTTTTTTTGTAAACGATTTTCATTGTAATTGCTCTGTTTTAGCATTTCAAAAATCCGGTCGAATCGGTTTTAGTTTTTTTTTGGCATGAAAAGTTTCTGCTCAGGTATTTTTGGCTTTGTTACCGCTTGGTAATTCAAAATTCAATATCTATCAACCATCCGTCGCATCTGCAGTAGAGATAACACAATTGCTAGAGATCGCAAAGGGTTGCGATTGGAATCCGACCGGGAACTGTTTTTTTTGCAAACTATAGAGTTTAAGTGCGTTTTCGGGCTATCGTCTGTCAGTTTATTTTTGTCGGCTTAGTTCCCGTAGCCCGACTTTTTCGAAGGTTCAGCTTTGCTCCAAGTTGCTGTAGCCCCCATGCTTGAGGTGACAAAGCTCAGGAGTTCGATTGCAGTCGAGGCCTGTTTTTTTTGCAAGTTGAAATTTTTCGGCTAATTTAGATCATTGTCGGTCTGCTTATTTTAGTCGGCTTAGTTCCGTGAAAATCCACTAATTTTGTCGGCTTAGTTCCGTAGTCTCATTTTTTGAAAATTCAGTTTCTTTCTAGCATTTTGAAAGCTCTTTGTACAGTTTTTAGTAATGCAGGCACCATTTTTCCGGATAGTTTGGGCTTTTGTCGCAATTTTTATTGACATTGATTTTTTGCAGTTTTTCTCTGTTGATTTCAATCATAGTCATTTATATTTGTATCGCAAGTGCTGGGAATCTCATCTTCGCCTCTGTGTAAGATACTTTTCTGCGTTTGCGACTAGCAAGCGTTATCAAATCGGAATATAGACGGTTTTCGGGTTAACAACTAATTCAATGAAATCAGTTGAATCAGATAGCATGACCATTCTGGTAGCAGCAGAACAGAATGTCAGACAAAGACATTTCTTGAGTATGCTTGAATTTTAACTGACCGTTTCATTCGAGTTTTCGTTGTTGATTGCAAAACATCTCTTATTTTTAGTTTCCGCTTTCTTTTTCGTTTTTTTTTGGCTCAAATGGTTTCATTTGATGTTATATCTGTTTCGTTGCCTCATAATTTGTCTTTTGATCCAAGTTTTTTAAGCAATTGTTTAAATTTAATTTGTTCCAAGTTTTGTAATTTCACTTGTGCCACCTGAGGGGTGCTAAACTTGAGAGCTCAAGTTTTTTTTGGCTCAACAGTAGTCTAACCAAGTATCGTCTGCTCAGTTTCCGCTTGAATAAGTTTGTTTCTTGATGCATTTTGAAAACTGGCAGTTGTTTTTCTAAGTATCTTTCCTCAAACTCAACCGCATTCCAAATTTTTGTACTCAGTTTTTTTTTTACCCTACCTTCATTTTTTTTAACTCAGGCTTTTGCCCTATTTTTTGGACTAGCTGCTGTGCTTTTGCAGCTCCGCTTCGCCTCTGTGTTCGAATTATTTGCTTTCACCCAATGAAAAAGAATTCGCTCCAAAATTGCAGTTTAGAAATGTGTCTTAAGAGTATTCCATGCAAGGGATTTCGGTGATATGTTTCAATAGGTAGTAATTTAGAGTATAGTGCATGTATTAAATTTGAGAACCATTATACATAATATAGTCATTTCATTTTCAATCAATTGTACATGCTACTAAGATAGTTTTGTCAATACAGTACTCTGTCAGATTTTCAAAATTCAAATTTTACACTTATGCCAAAATGAGGCTTTTGAAATGAATTATAAATACTGTTCG